TATTTATATATATATTTAAATATATCTAATATATATATATATATATATATATATAATATACTACTATATTAATATATATATATATGTATATATAGATATATTTATAAAACAGTCCCTTTGTATTCAAAATGTTTAAATAATCACAACCACTATTACAGCAAATGCCACAACAACTTTGAATTAACATAGGAGACCCAATATGATGTTTATAACTGTTTTTGTCTGAAGAAATGAATAAACAGTGTGAAAATAAATGTAAATTTTGCAGTGTTTAGAAGTTTAACTGACATACTTTAAAAGGGACCCTTGGCCCAGAATCGCTAATTCATTTAGTTCTTTATTTTTTCTGTGCAGCTTCTCAGATATATATTATTAATGACTAAGTTTTCTACTACTCAGGGTCCCTATGGAGGAATGCCAGTAGTGAGGAGGGCTCTGATTGTAACGCCTTCAAGTCTAACTAATAACTGGGGCAAAGAGTTTAAAAAGTGGCTTGGAAAGGAAAGAATACAGCCATACATTGTTGATCAGAATCATAAGGTAGGATTTTTTTTTTTCTTTACTTCTTTTCATATCTTTCTTTTTCTTTTTCTTTTTTCTATATTTTTCTCCTATTGTTCCTCATTCTCCATATTTTCATTTTATTTTCCTTCCTTCCTGACTAAGTGAAGTTTTTGATGTCCTGTATATGCATATCACCCATTACTTCAGAAACAAAGCGAACATGATCTTTGTGTTTACAGGCAGAGGATTTCATCAAACAACAACACTCAGCTGTGATGATTATATCATACGAAATGTTTATGAGATGTGCTGAAGTAATTGACAGTTATAATTTTGACATTTTGTTCTGTGATGAGGGACACAGGCTTAAGAATGCCAATATCAAGACAACTTCACTACTCTGTAGTTTGAGCACCAGAAAAAGGATCATTCTAACAGGAACTCCCATTCAGAATGATTTACAGGTAAGGCATAATCATGTATAAACTGGTAATGTGCAGTTTACAGTGATAAATGTTAGAATTAGGTATGAATGAAAATAAGTTGTCATTGTTATGTAATTATACGTTTCTAATGAAAAGGAGTGGTCAGACCCATAATACAGCATTGGCTAATTGAAGTAGTTGTTGCCTTGTGCTGGCTGTTCTTTGGGTATTTTAGTTGAACTACCTTTTATCTACTGGTTACCTTGCTGGTATCAGTGTTTATACATCTTCAAATTATTAAATAGCATTTTTTGTAAGCTTTACAGATTATTTATCTATCACTCCAGTTAGAGGGTTAAGGAAATTTTGTATCAGATCATAAAGATTAGTTGGGTGTTGGTGATGTATTAACATAAATAAAAGAAATGTTATAATCATATATTCCAAGATTCACTCTTTATTGAGCCTGTACAAAGAAAAGACATTTTCAGTGAAGATATAGAAGTATATAATAATGTACACTGGAAGTCACTGAACCCTACTTTTATACCCAAATTCATTGTGATTGTAAACTAATGTAAACATTACCATTATATGATATTTTTTTGCAGGAACTATATGCCTTAGTAGACTTTGTGAACCCAGGAGTCCTTGGTACATCTGCCTCTTTTAGAAGAATATATGAAGAACCTATAAATGCATACCAGCAACCAATGGCAACAGATAGTGAGAAGGAATTAGGTAATTTTGATATTGATATTCATACCTTGTTGAAGTTCTGTTTTGTCAGTTTTTAATTAAACACATTTAGCTTCAAAACCACTCACTTACCAAGGAGTCACATACTAGTCCAACCTGATCTCACCTATTCACCCCATTACTTATTTTTTTAGGGGGTAAAAAGTTTATACTTCCATTACTATTGTTATTGTTAATAATGTTATTTCTGATAATAATGTCAGTAATGAAAATGATGATGTTGATAATGTTAATATAATTAGAAATATATATATATATATATATATATATATATATATATATATATATTTAGCTGAGGTCGGGTAAGCTTAGTAAGAAACTTCTTGGGGGAAAAGCACTTGTGATCTGTGTAAGCAAAATTTCCTAAACAGAACTACTTTGGACAGGGCATGTACCCAGCATTAATGAGCTATATTTTACTTAAGCTTTCATATTGCAACGTTCCTTGTAAACTCAGAATAAATTTGATTATATTGGAATTATTGACCCTACTGGTCAGAAATTATCTCATATTCTTTTAGGAGAAACACGAGCAGCACAGCTTAATAGGACTACATCACTCTTCATCCTCAGACGTACACAAGAAATTATTAACAGGTGAAGTGAATGCATAACATCTTTTGTATATATTGGAGGCATAATTTTGTCTTGCAGAATCATTATTTGTTGCCTTTACAAAGACATACTTTTTAGAATTTATATGAGAAACATTAAAGGAGACTTGTAAATCTGTACTACTATTCCATATTCCTAGCTTTTCTACCTGTAAAGCTGGGTGAAAATAAGAGAATCACAATAGAACTGGTGTAAATTTGATGTAGCAAGATTGTCCATGATTTTGTTAATTTGTGTTCAGTTCTCAGACAGCAGCTACAACAGAGCATCATGTCACTGTTTGCCACTGCTTGTAATAATGAAGATATTGTATTGCTAAAATCAAGTTAAATTTACTTTTATTGTCCCTAAAGGGTTATTTATTTTAATTGTACAGACTTATACAAGAAAAAAAATGTACATTTATTGTTGTATTTTACCCCCTGTTATTGTAATGAGCTCTGTCTTATTTTAGGTATCTGCCACCTAAGGTTGAGTACGTAGTGTTCTGCCAGCCCTCTGAAACACAGTTGATGCTTTATGATGAAATTGTTGGGTGCAAGACTCTTCGACAGTGTTTGAATAGTAATGATGTAGGAGATCATCTGTCAGCCATTATGGCTCTTCGTAAACTTTGTAACCATCCTGCACTTTTGGCACAAGATAATGAACAACATTCACACAAAGAAATGGCAATGGAATTAGCTAGTTTGCTTCCTGAACACATAAAATATAACCAATTTGATGAGGCTGTAAGTTGGTTTTGTTAAATTTGCATTTTAATGAGATAAAAATAAAATTAATATCATGGTAGACAATTACATATATGAATTATAAATTAGCAGAATTTAAACCACTAGCAGTATTTAGATAATTTTGCCCACACCCATCTTCATCTTGCCAGTTCCTTGCTGTCTATCATTATTAATACTCTTTCTTTAATATAGGATAGTGGAAAATTGGCTGTAGTGTCATGCATGTTATGGTCACTTGCTGAAGCTGGTGATGAGAAAATTGTTCTTGTATCCAACTACACATCAACCTTAGATATGCTGGCTAATTTATGTGAGCGCTACAACTATCAATACTTGAGACTCGATGGTTCAGTCCCAACAGGGAAGAGGCAAGAATTGGTGGACAGATTCAACAATAAGTATTCCAAAGACTGTAAGTAATTCTTCTATATAACTGTTAAAGTACTAGCAATGAAGATAGGCCATGAATAATCTTATTTGATCAAATTGATTATTTATTCAAAGACTTATGGATCTCATGATCATCTTGCTTTTCAGTTGTCTTTCTCTTAAGTGCAAAGGCTGGAGGAGTTGGTCTAAACCTTATAGGAGCCTCAAGGATCCTTCTCTATGACATAGACTGGAATCCTGCAACAGACCTTCAAGCCATGGCACGTGTGTGGAGAGATGGCCAGCAGAAAAAAGTATATATTTACAGGTAGGATTATTTATTCAGTACCTATATAGTTCATCTATAGTAAGGTACATACAGAATGCAAAACATTCAGCTAAGTAGCAACATCTTTCACAATATTTTGACCCATGTCTTCTAAAGGTATCACTTCTTTTTCAGGTTGTTAATGACAGGATCTTTAGATGAGAAAATGTATCAGAGACAAGTTAGAAAGCAAGGACTGAGTGGAGCTGTAGTTGATGCTCGCGACTCAGAGCGAGTTCACTTCTCCACTAAAGAACTCAAGGTTGGTAGCTTTATTAACTTGATGCAAAAGAAAATATTGTTCTCTGTACAAGAAAACGATTATGTAAACATATATGACATGTTCAAACACCAGAAATATTGCAGTCTTATCTGTAATTTTGTATACTCGCCATACTTTTCCTTTATTTTCTGTTCTCATGCAGTTTCCTTTATCATGATTGGTGGACAAGTAACTAATTTGAGTATCATACATTAAAAGAGAAAAAAAGAAAGAAGGAAGGATGTTGAAATATTAAACCATGATACCTATGGGGAAAGAAAGAAGGACATTTAAGTGTAATAAACCCCATGTGCATGTTTAATGTAGTAGTTGTTTTTATGCATAGATCCTTATGCATCCTAAGTTATCAATGAGAGAATTACAAGTACTACCTGTCTCACCAGTTTGACCTTTTCCTTGATTTTTAAAAATATTTTCTGGTGTCTACTATTGCTGTCAATAATGTCAATACCACTTCAGCGATTATTATGCGTATGATAAAAATAACAGTATCAATATTGATAGCACTAGCAGAAAAAAAGAAAAGAAAAGGCAAACTCAAGGAAATGTGAAATCAGATAAAGTCACAAGGTCTACTAATTGACTCTTTTGTGGTTAAGGGGACCGTCCCTGAGAGAGGGGGGGGAAGGGGGTTAAATTGAGTTAGTTAGCGTATAGTGTAGGTACATGGATGAGGAAACTACCAAACGAGTATTAAGTGCCTGCTATGACTCGTTGTCTTGCAGCCAGCGCGCGAGTCCCTCAGCACCCAGAGAGGTACGTCGCTAATGAGCGCCCAGGTACACCTATGTGGACTTTTGCTTGTGGCAATCGTGCATAAGGCATTTAATTATGACATTGCGCATAGATATGAGTTCGTGAATGTTCAAGGAACACTTTTGACTTATGACGAAATATTTTGTGAAATATATCTAAAAAAAAATGTATGTTTTGTGTCCTTTTACACACGGAATATACTTTGATCGGGATTCCCTGGTAATATGTTTTAGTTTACAAGGTAATATATACGTATATCACATACGAAGCACTAATGTTTAAAAATAGCCTTATAAGGAAGGATTGAAATATTTCCGTTACATTTCGCTCAACGGTCAGTACATCACAGCAGGGGGCAGTTTGAATTGATTTGAAATTGGTAGTTACCGTTGTAAAGACCAATTCAATACGAGTGTTACCAAAATGTCAGGTTTTTAAACTTCGGATGTATAAGCGAGATACAGATTATTTCATGTTGAAGATGATAGTACTCAGTAATACCTGCTCTGAAATAAAAACTATATGGAATTTTGAGCTCGGTTGTATGCGTAGTTACCTTTGTCTGGCGTTCAAAAAGCTATCGCATCCGTTTCGTGCGTTCCGATAAAAATGAATATGTTTAGACGTTACCGTAAGTCTTAGGCACCATAAATTGGCAAATATCCCACAACACCTAGGCGTCTGCATGATTTTATGCACTTCTTAGTAAAGATAATGGATGCAAATGGCTAATCATAAACTTTACACTTGTTCTCCTTTGCAATCTGTTAATATTGACAATTATCAAAGAAAATGGTATAAGAGGGATAACTAATATATTTTATTATTTAGATATGAAAGTCAATGTAGGCCTACTAAATTATGATGATTAATCTTTTTATTTTTATGTGCGTGTGTTCATGTACATATGATCCTCCTCGAAAATTATAAACACCCAGTGACCATCTCCCCTGTGCGAGGCATGGGAAATATTCAACAACTTTCGTAAGTTCTCGAATTCAATGTACTAAATTCATATGCTTTTAAAATTTTCAAAATTGAACCACCATGTTGTATTCATGCCAGGACTTTATAATTAGAATGATTTTGTACTAATGTTGCCATCCACAGTTCCCCATTTCTTAAAAAAAAAATAATAATAATAATTAAAAAAATAAATAAAAAAAATAAAAAAGTTTTTTTATCTGGTTTAGATTAGTTGTAAAATGCATTTATTAAGCTTTTCACACGAAAATATCAACTTTTATGAACAACGAAAAAAAAAAATTACATACCTTTACAGAACAGCATTCCTATTGAACATGAAAATTCCTATTGACTTGGTAATCATTGCATTGCAAAGTACACTAAATAAGCATCCATTTTTTTTATATATAATATCATTAGATTCAGAGAAAAATAACAGAGATAACGAACTTTGGCAAGGGGCCAAATACAAAACGCCGTAGCTCCGTCATTTTTTTATGAATCTTCGGTACATCCCAACTCACGTAATTTTCATGCGATCTAAATGCAGTTTGTTGCTTTCACTAGAGCCTCGGTGTCCCAAGGCCATGTAAAAGGCTGATTTTTTAATTTTTGCCTTAATCAAAAAATAATAATATTTTAATGCTGAAAAAAAAAAAAAAATTGTTCTCTGTCAAGCCAAAAAAAAACGAAATTCAAAATTCGGCCTTTTACATGGCTATAGGCTATAGTTGATTTAACACAAGTATTTTTGGGGGAATATTCTGTAAAGAGCTGTGATAGTTGGGATGTACCGAAGACATACCAAAAAAAAAACGATTTTTTTCGACTTTTTGGGGGGTGGCCTCCCCAATGGGGGAGCAAAGTTAAAATTTATATATATAACGGAGCGCAATTCTTTACTCTATATCATGCAAAAAGAATCAATCAGTTATCTCTAACCGATATTTTTTTATGATGTAAAGAGTAGGGAAAGGTGGCCATTTTCCAGGACGGTCCCCTTAAGTCATGTATGTGCAGAGACATTTCACAAAACAGTGCAACAGTGAACACATTTTTAGAGGCATTGGATTAACAGGTGCAGTGTTTTTAAGCTATATAAAATTTATGCATTATGAATAGCTTTGTTAAATTACTTGATTTTTTAAAACTGAACTATGTGATTAGAAAAGCACAAGCTTAGAAGTAACCTTTTTTGTTAAGTATTTATTTCAAAATGATATTCTTTCAGTTCTTCCTGTTGGGAGCTATGTCTTTAATATATAAACCACGTTTTGCAGCTGATGAAATTATATATCAATAATGATAATACTATTATTTTATTATCATTTATTGTTTATTATTATTATTATTATTTACAGGACTTGTTCACACTTCATTCAAACACTGTCTGCCTAACACATGATATGCTACAGTGCTCATGTGATCTTACAGGCCAGACTATTGCAGTGCCAAACACTGAAGAAAACACTGAACCAGAGAGATGTATGTATACTTCTAGCTGATATTTCCTGCAGTGAAAATATTTAGAAAGAAAAGAAGTTATTACTAAATAAAATTAAACAGCTCAAGTTCCAGACATTGAAAACTACAGCACGTATTAATTTTCTTAATCAAGAGTAAGCCCTGGTAGAGAAATTATCATTATATATATATATATATATATATATATATATATATATATATATATATATATATATATATATATATTTTTTTTTTTTTTTTTTTTTTTTTTTTTTTTTTTTTTTTTTTGAGATTATTTCACATGCTCAAATGTAACATTATTCTATGCCATAGCTTGTCAACTTGGAGACCATGGCCAGTCCAGATCCAGTTCTAACACTACAATGGACCAGTTACAGAAGTGGTATCATAGTGCTGCACCTTTCTCCCCAGAGATTATAAGGGTATGTACATTTTGTGAGTGAAAATATGAATCATCAACTTTCTCGTACCTTGTTAAATTATCATCAAAATGTTTAACAGTTGGCAAATTCAGGTTACTAAATTAACTAATATAAGGGCATCATATTAGCACTAGAAAGTAGAATAATTGGTTTTCAAATTAACAATAATTTATCTTTACACAGGATCCTTGTGTAGAGGCTGCCAATGACTTCATAACTTTCCTCTTTCATAGTGTGTCTGACAGCTCAGTGAAGGGGAGGTTTGCTGTTCAGACTGAAGCTTGAGAATGGATCACATTATTATTTTGTATTGGATATAATGTATGGAAATGTAACTGATTAAGTAGATAATAATACTGCTGTGGTAAAAACAGGCAAATGTTTTTTGTACCTTATATTATAAGAATATTTATTAAATTTATTAATGTTTGAAAAAAATTATTACCTTCATTAAAGGAACAGTCAATTAGCTGTTGGTTTTTGTATTTTTAGGTAATTTTATTGCATACAGATGGCTCCACAACTCAGCCACCAAGGAGCCAATTAGTAGGCCCTATGTGGCTCCACCTGATGTTCTTTTCTTTTTTTTGGGGGGATGGGGGGGGAGATACCATTAAGATCAGTACTGTTGTTCTTATTGACACTGTGATTGTTCTAACATTATCAAAATGCCATTAGCCAAAATTTAACCATGGAAAAGGGTAACTAGGTGAAGTACATTTGACCAGTAATTGATTCCAATGCGCTTGTGGAGCCAGCAATGTGTTAAATTAGAATCAGTAGACATGAAATGCCACCCTGGCACAGTGATTTAATGTTACCGTCCTGAGTGCCAAAATAGGCCTAGGAAATTTTGGTTAAGGAACTAGAAAAATATAACAAAAGGCACACATTTGGAATTATATTTATGATTTGTGAACTTCACCATTTTTTAAACTGTAGTGTAGAATTCATGTTTTTTTTTTTTCAAAGATCAACTACTGTTAGGTTTTCAGTTGCTCTTTAAAAAAATGTAGGTTTCAAATGCAACCATCACTTGGGGCTGTAGCTCCTGTAACAAAGTTGAAATCAAGAAAATTCAATTTTGAGCATTGAGACCATTTTAAGTATCTATATTTTGTTGAAAGTACTATCTATCAAGAAAGCTCAAACTTTCTAGTTGTATGTAAGGATGGCAGTGCCAAACCCAAATTTTACATTTTTTTTTTACAGTTCTTGGTAACTTTGTTTTTGATATGAGGCAAAGGATTCTAAATATGTCTTCAGATTTGCTATTCAACCCCTCTAGTGGCCAAAAATAAAAAATAAAAATTCAGAGTATAAAATTTGTAATCTACATGATGGCTCCAGTATATAAATTAAAGGGTACAAGGCTTACTTAGGATCAGTGTTCATTCCCTGCTGGACATGCAAACCAGTGACATAGCCTGGAAATTAATTCCCAATACTTAAACGCCCAAGAAGAGGGTAGCTTTGCTAAAGGCATCTTAGCCATTCCTTTGTACGGACAGGAGTTTTTTTAAGCTACAAACCCTTGGACTTTTGGCCATTGCACAGGAACTCATCCTTAGTCTTGCAGCCACAAATAGTGGCAAACCTTGATCTGTTAACAATCAATTCATTTTCTCTTGTTATTCCATAGTAAATAATTCTCTACAAATATATACACTAGGGCCCCAAAAGTCATTTAGGACCACTATAACTGCAAAGTCTGGGTGATTTATATTATTTACAGGATGTTAAAAAAAATCATGTTGAAGATTTCAAAAATATGATTTTCAGACTTTCAAGATGGTTTTTCAGTCATAAAATTTTACCCAAATATTTGCAAAGGCTGAAACTTCACAAACATATGTAGTTGACATTGAATTGATTGAAGGGGTTATCTAAGTTTGGGCTTACAGGGAACAAGAAATAGTCATGACCTTTCATTAGAAATTGACAATTGACATACCATGTGAATCAAGAAATTTTTCAAATTTTTGTAAGTATTTCTGGAAACTATAAACAAAACTACATCAGCTGATCTACTTTATTTCCACCCAAGCAGCTAATTTTCTATGGCCCATTTCACGTCACTGCCATCCCTAGTTTTATGCATTTTGTCCAAGATATACTTTTGGTTTTCATTATATCAGAGTAATAAAAATAAAGTAATTTTCCCATTTTTTGTATACTTGGCATTTTGGTCTTGTCCACATAAGTGAGATTTGATGTGTCTGTCATCAGTAATAGATAAACTAAGCAAAACTGCATAAAGGTTTTCCCTGATTCTTGGGGATGTATTGTAGCTTTGTTAGTTGTCAAGGTTGGGTAGTGGTTTAAGATAAAGGTGCTATCAGACACACAAACTTACATTGTATTTTCCACAAGCTATCGGTTCTTGTATTCTACTACCAACCATCAGACTTGACCAGGGAACTGGTCTTGCAAATTAAACATAAACTTAATAGATGATATTTTCTTCTTCTGTGATCCACGTCTGTGCTATATTTACACATTCATTTATTTATAGTATGGTACATGGCCTTCTAAATGCCTGTATATCATTTATACCATGTTGCATGATCTTCCCAAGACCTGTCTACACAAGCGGCACATCAGTGGGCACCTGTTAAGGTGACCCCAGGGAAATTTAGTTTACCAAGTAGTTTGTCCACTTGTGGCATCATCTCTACTTGTGTTAGCCTGATTCCTGCTTGTGTAGACAGGCCTTTGCTAAAATATATTTTTCCATATTATTGTAATGATAACTGAGTTGATACAAATTTGTTTAAATAAAACTGCATCACTTTAAGTTTTTTATGTGATGAAATTTTAAACTGTTTTTGTACAACTCCGTTTCATAAGATATCAAAATGGGAGTTTGCATACCATCCTCATGATACACCCATAGTTAAATGAATGCTGATCATGCCTGCTAAGTGAACAGACCTTTAAAGCCCCATCCATATGATCAAGCAATAATTGCAGGGCTCTTAGCATGATTGTGCAATGCCAGCAGTGGGCCCATGGGTGGGATAAATATGGTGTGCAGAAAGAAAGATAACAAATGTATACCACTATCACAATTGCTAGTTAAGATATGTGAAAAAGATAACATTTTCCAGTTACTTTGAATGAATTTTGAATCAAAATTTAAATAACTGACAAGATATCCAGGATCTGATGTAATTTCTTGCCTGGGGACTGGTAAAAAGTTCCAGCATGGGCACTGCTTGTTTGCCTGTGAACAAGCAAAATATCAATCAAGAACTACCTATTCTTCATTAGTGCCAACAGCCACTGCTCATGTGAATGGACCCCCCAATCCCTTGCCTGTTGTTGTCATGGGGGGGCTTAGGAGATGGAGACTGAGACCCAATGCAATCTCCCCTGCCTAGGGCCTCAGTCCTCAACTCAACTAATTTTGCCGCCCCCCCAACTAATTTTGCATGTTCTTTTCCTCCTCCAGCTTTTTGTTTCCATCCCTTCTCCAACCCCTTCTACTATCTACTTCCTAAGGTGTAAGAGCCATGCTGAAAAGATGAAAGGCTGACCTTGTGCCAGTCCTGAACGGCTTGCAGGAATCATGGGCACGATACTCCTGATTTATTGTCTAGGCCTTACCCTCTCAGGGCATAGGGGTGGACCGTTTATGCCACTTCATATAATCAAGGTTCCCCATGACCAGTAATGAAGATGTAATCCCCTTATTAGGGGCAATGAGGCTTGCCCCTTTATCAAATAGCCCCACCCCAGGCTCTCCTTTGATAATGACTCCGAACATTGAAACTACTACCCACTCTTCAATGCCTACTCCCCCCCAATCCCTTGCCCGTTGTTGTTGTGGGGGGGCTTAGGAGACGAAGACTGAGACCCAATACAGGGATCTCCCCTGCCTAGGGCTTCAGCCCTCGACTCAACTAATTTTGCATGGTCTTTTCCCCCTCCAGCTTTTTGTTTTTGTCCCTTCTCCAACCCCTTATACTATCTACTTCCTAAGGTGTAAGAGCCATGCTGAAAGGATGAAAGACTGACTTTGTGCCAGTGCTGAATGGCCTGCGGGAACTATGGGACAGTACTCCCGATATAATTGTCTAGCCCTTACTTTCAAGCGAAAGGAGGTGGACCGTTTATACCACTTTATATAATCAAAGTTCCCCATGACCAATAATAAAGATGTAATCCCCTTATTAGGGGCAATTAGGCTTACCCCTTTATCAAATAGCCCCACCCCAGGCTCTCCTTTGACCACGACTCCGAACACTGAAACTACTACCCACTCCTCAATGCCTACTAGTGCATTACCCACCCAATAAGAGACTCAATCTCCAGAAGACATTCTTACCCTCCTAACTTCCCCCCCCAATCCCTTGCCCGTTGTTGTCGTGGGGGGGCTTAGGAGACGGAGACAGACCCAATGCAGGGATCTCCCGTCTAGGGCCTCAGCCCTTGACTCAACTAATTTTGCATGGTCTTTTCCCCCTCTCAACACAACCTAACCCCCTCAATTCCGTCCACCTCCAATATCCATCCTCCTGATATCCATCCCCCTCTTACTCACAGCACCCCTACACCCCTTCCTCCTAATCCCTCCCAAGACAACACATCCCCCTCAACTCAAACTATCTATCCTTCCGATATCCACCCTCCTACCAATAATACTTCCCCCACATCTACTCCCCCCAACACAACCCACCCCCTTCAACCCCAACTATAGGCACATTCTCCCTCCCTCCATCCCCTCTATCTTTTGCACTCCCTCCCGGATACACACGAGAATCACTCATGTCACAACAATGCCCTTCCCCAAATTCCCTACCTCCTAATACCCCTCCTTCACATCCCCTAGCTCCTTCTCCCCCAGATTCCCCAATACGTACCATATGCGATATCACTCATAAGCTGTAGGTCTCCTACATTGGAATATTCGCGGTTTCCGTTCTCATAGACAAGACCTACGTCATATCCTTGCTTCTTATAATCTATCTATTATCTGCCTCCAAGAGACTTTCCTCACACTCCCTCCTATTCCAATTCCCAATTACCATTTTATCTCTTCCCCACACTCCCTTTATGTCTCGTCTATACTGATCCATCATAAAACACCTTATGTCATACCTCCCATACAAACTACTGTCCCGTGCACAGCTATTCGCATCTTTGTTCGCCGCTGGATCACAGTAATTTCAGTCTACTTCTCGCCATCCCATCCCATTGACTTTGCTGCCTTTGAAACTCTAATTTCCCAACTCCAACCACCTTTCCTCATAGTCGGTGATTTCAACTGCCACAACACTCTGTGGGGTGACTCTACCACTAACTCTCGAGGCCGATCTCTAGAACGCTTCTTCTTCACAAATAACCTAAATATTCCAAATTCAGATCGCCCCACACACTTTGACATGCGCACACAATCCTTTTCATGCCTTGACCTCTCTCTATGCTCTCCTACTCTACATTTAGATTTCCATTGGTCAGTTTTAAACCACTTCCCCTATAGTGACCACTTCCCAGTACTCGCTTCTCATACTTCATATGTACCACTTCCTAATCCTCCACGCTGGTGCTTTGATAGAGCTGACTGGCGTACTTTCACTTCACTCTCTACTATACCTATCCCTCCACCCCCTTTATCATCCATTTCAGATATGCTACAACCACGATCCTAAGAGCTGCCTATACAGCCATTCCTCGAACTTCAAGACCTTATACCTCTAAATGTGTTCCATGGTGGAATTCTGATTGCACCAAAGCGCTTCGCTTAAAATAAGCAGCCTGGAACGGCCATCGCTACAAACGAGGCACCCCTCACCAGCTATCAGCCCTATTTCCTTTAAAAGAGCATCTGCCCATCTTTGCCGTACAATCAGAAACAGTAAAACAAATAGCTGGCAAAATTGTTTCCTCAATTACATCTTCTACATCTATGTCAGCTGTTTGGTGACGGATCCATAAATTATCAGGCAAACATCCCCCCCCATCCTGCACCCGTCCTCCATATTCGAGATACTCTCATCTCTGAGCCTGTCGAAGTAGCTAATGAACTGGGCAACTATTTCAGCCAGGTCAGTAGTGGCTCTCACCTTTCCCCACACTTTTCTTCCATTAAAGCCATCAAGGAACGCATCCCTATTACCCTCAGCCTATCTGATGAGTCCTATAATGCTCCTTTTTCTTCTGAACTCAACGCTGCATTACAGTCGTGCCGCAACACTCATGAAGGCCCTGATGGTATTCACTATCGTATGCTCCGACACCCATCATCTTCCTCTCTATCCTTCCTTTTAACTATTTTCAACCACATATGGGTCAGAAAATTTTCCTTCTCATTGGCGAGATGCTCTTATCCTACCTTTCTTAAAACCCAATAAATCAGTTACCCTACCCCAAGATTACCGCCCCATTTCTCTAACTAGCAGCTTGTGCAAACTACTAGAACGAATGGTTAACTTCCGCTTAATGTGGTATATTGAATCTCATCATCTCCTTTCCCCTTCCCAATTTGGTTTCCGACGTGCCCGAAGTACAGCAGACCCACTTGCCCATTTCGAGACATATATTACACCTGCATTTGCACGTCATAAATCCGTATTAGCCATATTCTTTGATCTAGTAAAAGCATATGATACCACATGGTGGTACCATATCCTCCAACAATTGTCCTCCCTAGGTTTACGTGGAAACATGGGCGTTTTCATTAAATCTTTCCTTTCTAAACGTTCTTTCCAGGTCAAAATTGCCTCTTCCACGTCATCATCCTTTCCTCAATTCGAAGGCGTCCCACAAGGAAGTGTGCTTAGTACCACTTTATTCCTTCTTGCTGTAAATGACAGTCTCAGTCCTACCAGCAGGAGCCTGGGCATCACTATATGTTGATGACTTAACCATCTATGCATCTGGCACATCCAAACCAGATCTCTGTCAATTCCTTCAGTCTGCAATAACATCAGTAACTTCTTGGGCCACCAACCATGGCTTTCGCTTCTCTACTTCCAAATCTTTCCCCATCTTTTTCTCTCGCTCACGTACGGTCCCCAAACCCCCACTCTTCTTATATAACGCTCCACTCAATACCGTTCTTCTGGCAAATTCCTAGGCGTTATATTTGATTCCAAATTGTCCTGGCGAGACTGTATCTTGTACATCAAAGAAAAAGCTCAACGCCGAATCCGAATCTTACAAACTCTCTCACACATCTCTTGGGGCTCAAATCGCAAAATATCTCCTCCATCTTCATGTTACCTTGATCCTCTCCACTCTTGATTATGGATGCCATATCTACTACTCTGCCTCAACCTCTCTTCTTGCTCACCTTGATACAATCCACCACAGCAGCCCCCCGCTTAGCCCTTGGTGCCTTCCACTCCTCTCCAGTTGAGAGCCTGTATACTGAATCTGGCATGCCGTCCCTCTCTCAACGTCGAGCCCTTCTCTCTCTCTCCATTGCTGTGCTCGATTTCACTGATTTT